CACGTGGCACACTCGCAAGGGTCTGAAACTCACCCTGGTGTCACTGCGTCAGCGCCACCGGCACCTACAGCGAACGAAAACGACCAAGGCGCACGAAAAAATGCGTATTTGCCCTGGCTCGTTCCACGTGCGTCATCACCCGTCTGTAGCGGGACCGTTCAAAGAGTACTTTATTTTGAAGTAGAAAAATAGAGGAGGAGGAACGTTTTGCCAACACAGCTCTGTCGTGTGCGACGCTTCTTTCTCTTCATCAAATCACCCCACACTCAATCTCTTTGCACCCGAGCCAGATCCGTGAGTGCAGATGACAGAGCCGGAGGTTTGACCTCGGTACGCCTGCTACATAGTGAGATACTTGCACGGGTGTAATCGGCTTCGGGTTGATGCACTTTCTTGTCAGTTGGACAGCAATGGAACAGTTTTGTTTCTCCACTTGGTATGAGCTCGTCGGCAACGGCTTCTATATTGCACCCCAGGTAGGCGCCCATTGCTAGTATCCACCCACAGTGTTGAGGCAATATAGCTGGGGGAGGGACGCTCCTTCTACAACTGCGTCATGGTCACTTTTCGCCCCACCTTGGCATTTTCTGTGGACCAAGTGGCCGTTGTGCCTTTATCAACTTCCTTTTTCAACATTCAACATATTCTCCCCATAAATCGCGATACTGCTAATCTTGGTGGAGATATACTGCAAGCAAAATTCGGGTCATAATGCCAAGATATATTCGCAACATTCTGTTTCCATGAAGAAGGGTCTAAGTTCCATTGACAAATGTTGGAAAAAAAGCGTCAGGAAAAGTTTGCAGCTTTTTTGGCAACATTGTGGGGCCATAAAAACCGGTCTTACCGGCGTATTGGGGTCCCCGGTGTGGAACCCCCGAAAGGCGGTTCCAAATATATGAACACCACTTCTTTTTTTTCCTGCTGCGCGAGAATTCAATGGTTCGTTCCAAGACGTTTTGTAGTACCACTCGCAAAACTGGCACAGTACGGGACTTTGCAGGGAAAAGGGGGTCCGAGGACCTGATTCTTTTCTAAAATCAAGCAGTTTGGGGGGAAATCAGGATGGGGAACACTTCATGACCCATAAGCTGAAACTTCACACTCCGTTTTCAGGAGGTAAACTTTGAAAATCTGCTCACATGTGCATTGGGTTGGTGCGAATCCCTGTGTAATGGGGCCTTTTGTATTTCTTTTTTTGTCGCCGGTTGTTCGGGGTCGAAGGAGCAGTACATGAACCCGAAACCTCTAGGACCCCGGATATCCGGCGCGAGAGGGATAATATGTAAAATGCCTCTCCACACATAGCATCTATCTTACTATCCCAATGTACAAGTGAGCAAAGTTTCAAAGTCTAACTCCTTGAAGCGGCGTGACGTTTCACGTTGAATGTTCTTGTATCCATTTCCTTGAACCAGTGTGTAGGCCATGAGGATGGCCCGCGACAGGGCGGTTGACACAAACAACGGAATGAAAGCGTTTGTGGGCCGTCACGGTGCGGCCAGGAGGTCGGGTTACAATAGCGTTATAGACCTGGAGAAGATCAGTCGCCAAGCTGCCGAATCTACGTAAACACGGTATTCAGCGCATGTATTCAAATGATCTAGGCGACTATTGTTTGTGTAAATGATCTCTGTGCTCCTCTTGTCGTTTTCCTCCACTCCACCAAACACGTGCCTGCACTCCTTACATAGGTTCGGGCGCAGGGTATATGAAAATTCTGGTGTATACTCGTCTATACTGCTGTTGTAGTATTGTAGCTGCTTGTTCGATGACTGCAGTATCGTTGGAGTGTAGCATACACCACGATATCCTAGCTTGGCTGGGCTGGAAATTCCCTTTTAGAGTCCTTCGCTCCGTGCATAAGTGGCTCCTAGACTCGGGCGAGGGCAGGTTTGTATGTCGAGCTATGATATTTATCTCTGTAAAATATATCATGTAGGGACATTCATCGTGGCATTCGTGTTTTGGTAGTTAGGGCGTTATGCATCTTGTCATGGTGTATGTAGATGGCCGCGTTTCGGAAGCGCTACAGCATGTCGTTCCATATCTCAGCAATCACTTGAAGTGTATGCGTTGGCTTAAAGTAGCGCTCACGGAGTATATCACTTTATTACAGGTCAACTCGATGCGTTATGTACGTTTCCAGTCTGTAGTCTAAGATGTTCCTGTCGTTTGGGCAAACGAAACCATTTTTTTTCCCCCACCGCTACGCCCATACCTTCTGGTCCTGTCCCCGTCGCATGCTGTCGCCGCATCTGCTGTAGACTGGTCAGTTGCCATCATGCTGGGTCGAGCCTGTGCTAGCCTGCCATTGGCTCTACTAGGGGCATATGCTGCCAGCGGGCTTGAAGTATATTCGAAGAACAACGCCGACACCGGACCGCCTGAGATACTGGGGACAGATCGATGTCTATCGTGTGAAGCGCTGTTTCTGAGACTGCAAGAGGCACCTGATGGGAAGCTCCAGCAATCGTCGCATATTGAACTGCGGGGGTAGGTACAGTGCGGCTGCTGTTGTGTGTTTTTAGTGTCCATCTGTGGCTCTCGCTGCACCCTGTTTGTTTGACAAACTCTTTTGGTTGTTGTGGTTGTTGTTGTTGTTGTCTTCGCTTGAAAAAATGTTTCGGTCTCCACTCAGTACCTTCTAATGTCCGTACTGGTCTAAGCGGACGCCTTCCATGGTCACCAGCCACTTTGGTACCAGGACAAACGGTTACAGATCGTGGCGCACATGCTACGTACGATGTGTGAGAATAATCGTGGCTTTTCCTTTTTCCAAGATGTCACCTTTTTGTTTACGGCGGTCACGTGTTAGGCCGTCCAACTCCTATCGCATTCCGTGGGTACATTTTCGTGTCGTCCCCATGGAAGATCTCGAACATATATCTTAATGCGACCATAGAATACCGGTTCAGCAATCCTCAGCTCGGGCGTTCCCTCTCCCCGTCGCTCTCGTTATCCTCCTTTTCTATCCCCTTTGTCTGCTTCGTGCTCCTAACGTTGAAGCGAGCCCAAGAGCGGTACCAAATTATCGTGGTTCTGGGCAAATGGCATCCTAACACATACATGCGAGCATTTGCAAGACATGTACGGATTAGAGACATGTCGCGTCGAGTACATGGACAACGACCCGGCTCCTGCTATGCGAATGGTGTTTGAGCCGGCTTTGGCTCGAAACGATCAGATTTGCTCATGTGAAGGAATCAGTAGGTGAGCACGTCTGGGAAGCAGATCAGCATTGGACCTCGAAGGACCATTGGCTTGCCATTTATGAAATTGTTTTTTGGCCTTTTGCCTTCCATCCAAACAGTGTGATAGGAACCGGGATTCACGGAAAAGGTGTAGAAGAAGAAATGTGGAGAAGAGAGCAAACTACATGAAGCACTGGGGTTGTTCGGGGGCAACAAGCGATCTGAGAAACTAGATAGGAGCCCGTGGAAAGGTGGGAGTCTCATTTAGATATCTGGAAGGGTCCTCAATTGGGCATGCTAGCGCTATGAGAGTAGATACTCCGGGTGTGCGGTGAGTTATGTGAGTAAGTGCTCTCTTGTGAGCTTATGACTGCTGGTATAGCTGCCGTTGTTTCTTGCTCATCAATGCTAACTATTGCCTCACTACGTACATCGCTTTTTCTCTTGGGATATTCGCACGAGTCCTCACGATAATATTTCCCACGAACCAGCAGCAAACACACACGCAATGCTCACCACCCATTAATTTGTTGTTTTGTTTGTCTTTACTTCAATTCAGGGCTCACACCATTCATGTGTGCCGTTTTGTCTCTAACCCGTGATCACACAGAAGGGTTCCCCTCCCTTAAGCCCCTTGTGCGGTGCTTTTGCCTTCGAATTTCAACGCCAGAAGAGTGAAGCACTCTCTTCCCTCTGTGGACATACGACCTATGTTTGACTTTCCATCCAGGCCAGGAAAGGAACCGAGAGAAAATCCACTACGTATTCCTACAACTAATGGATCGCTTACGCCGGGACAACCCAAAGTGCCAATGCTGCATAGGGAACATGCGGAAAAGAATGGGTTCGGGGGTAGATGGTTTTATATGGTGGGCTTGTGTGCATCTACTATGTAAGACAGTAGGAAGCAACAAAGAATGGTGGTAGCAAGAATGAACCAACACCGTTGACGTCGTTCCTGCACCTTCACTGCGGTCTACATCACGAGCGTCTGACACCACACGCCAAAATTCCACACGGTAGGGCATAAAAAATGGCGGGCAGTTCTCGATCGCCAACCGGGTGGCGGGATGCTCACCATCCAGAAGGCAAAAAACAGTCGTTCCCAGGAAGAAGCGCTAACCATCACCGGTTTTCGGCACTGTGTTCTAGAAATAGTTCAGGCTCGCCAATACGGGAAATGTACTGGAGGAGAATCGACTCAACCTTCAACCATAAATATGATAAATCTCCTGATAAAGGCACCTACCTCAGCCAGCCGTGGACCCCATACACTAACCTAATGACCTGTTCTCGACAATGGTGATGAAATACGAAGTTGACCCTCGACCCCAAACTGACGTATCGTAATCGCGGGCCGCAACTTCGTTGAATCTGCAGGGTAGAGGTGTATGCTTCGCCTCGACAAAAACACCAGTTCCCTGTTCCCGAGTCCTGCCCCTGGAAACACGGTGGGGGGCTCGAAAAAGTAGGGCACGGATGCGGGAACGTCAATGGACGACCTGTGGAAAATGCCGCAGATTTGTGGCGCTGTATGAAAGAAACATCGTGCAAGTATTCAGGTACGCACCGTGCTGTATGGGTACGAGTCGACCAAACCCAACTTCGAGCTCCTCGCGTGATTGCCCTCAATATTCCGCTTTTATCGCCCAGCGCAAGGGATTTTGGACAACGCGTTTTCACGATTGACCTCCGCCATTCTGCTTCACAAGGTCCGGACACCTTAACCCCACCCTATGGTTTCGCCCGAACATCCCGACCATTGTGCATTGTTGCCTACTAGATGATTCTCTCCAGTTCGTGGTGATGAGGGACCCTCGTGCAGTGGCTGTCAGCACGTACTTCTACATCAAAAGAAGCCCAATACACTTGCATCACCCATCCAGGGGCAAGTCTTTGGACGAGGCCGTGGTGGTGATACTTCCGCAAATCTGCCAGTTCACCACGATTCGACACATCTTGTTCGATGGGCAATTGTCAGACAGAAGTGAAATATTCTGGTACGAAGATGCCATGAGAGACCCGCTTGGCTGGTACAACCGATGGGCATCGCTCGCGGGCTTTACGCTACCCGCAAGATGGATCAAAGATATCCAGGCGAGCCTGACAGAGGCGGCGGAGAACGATAGGAAGCGCGAACCTCACCCTGGAGGACAAGTTGTGTCCTCAGACAGAACCTGGGAGGACGAGGTATCTCCGGAGACACGCCTAGAGATGAACTCCATTCTTCGAACGTGGCTGCCAGGGGTACTTCTGGCGCGATTTGATGTACCTGCTTCAGAAACTTCGTAACACATTCCGTTTGTCTGTAGAGGTTACCAACCTATTGAAACAGGAAAAGACAAGGAGAGGCACGGCCCGGAAAGGGTGTAGAGATGCACCGCAGCGAATTCACGACACTCCCTGCAGATTGTAGCGCATGGCATGTGCCGAGGCCGTTGTCAGCATCATCGGTGTATTGCTGGGCGCTGCAAGGCGCTGCAAGTGGTCGTGGGGTTGAAGCTCAGCAAGAAGACTGCCCTGTTATGGTAGAAAGTGTATGTCGGATGTGTGCGATGTTGTATATGTTCGGTGGTAGGACGGCTGTGTGTAATCATCACTCTTGCCCCGACGGAGGAGGTACATGATATTATACGCTTTACAGCAGAAGTCTGTACGACGCGCACAAATTGGTTTTCGTATGCGTTGAGCTTTGTTTCCCGCAGTATTGGTGATTATTTGCCCTAACTACTGCAATCCAATGCGACATTTCGTCGTGTGAAAGTACCGGTTGGGAAGATTGCCATCTGCAGCAACAGGGTGCACCTTTTGCCACGCTTGTACAACATATGGCGGTGGTGTAGAGCATTAAGCTACAGAACGATCACAAATCTAAATGATTGATCTTTGCCTCATCGAAAAAAGCTTGTGCAATCTCATTCACGTATACGTACATCATAGAAGTAAATGTAACGAGGGTTATGGATTGATCCCCGCCCCTGTTTGGGGTGCTAGGCAGTGTATACTGTCTACGGGGCCTTCGGGGGAGTTCGCGGATGAAATGTGTTGATGGGCATGCTGCATGGCGATGGTGTCGCCTCCCGCATATCTCTCACTCTCTAAGCAACAAGGTCTTGAGTCAACCTTCATTCTCTTTCGGCCTCTGACGAACTACCACACCCAAACACAAAATGTTGTAATGCCTGGTGTTGGTAGTGGGTATGTTGCGTCTGAGCTGTATGTGCCGGGCCAAAGGGGGCCCATCAGATCTCGCGAGAAGCCATTGGAACGCATGATATTTCTTGGCACTCGAACAGAACCCATGATAATCCATGAGAATCCATGAGACTCAATTGGACTAAATGAGAACCCAAGAGGGTCCATGATTCTGAGAGCCCATGATAATCCATGAGAATCCATGAGACTCAATTGGACTTAATGAGAAGCCAAGAGGGTCCATGATTCTGAAGCTTTAGCTTCAGTCTCATCTTTCAATATTCATTCGTGGAACTTTTATTCGCATAGCCCACCCCTTGCCCGACCCTGTCTCAAATGCCGATCCCGAGCTACAGTGTAAATCTCGTGGCGTGTCGAGTGTGGTTCGGTGTGGAATCGCAAACCATGAGCCGTCCCCGAGTTTGAGCAGCTTCCGCCTCCTGTGGCCGGCAAGAGTCGACCTTGACTGTTCCTTGCCCTGTTTCGCCATGGGAACGGCCGGTTGAACAGCGAAAGAGGGTCCTGCGTGCTGCGCGCCACAATCTTTTTTTATTTATTTTTTGCGTTTGTTCTTGAGTGACCATTGTACACATGCGGCTGCTGCTGCGGTTGCTGCCGTTATGCTCGGAATGTGCTGCAATGGTCGTACGGTTATCGTAGTCAGGTTTGACAACAGTCTGCTCGTTCGTACAGCGGTAGCGGTGCGCATCTATCGCGACGGCAAGCGCATTGAGATAATAGTTCGTCCGTCGTGCTTCTAGTCTACACAGATAGTCGTGTTCTTCTTTGTTGCCACTTCATACGAGTTGGAAAGAAAGAAAGTATCCACCAACTTACAGGCAGTATCTATTCCCAAGCTCTAGCTTGTGGGTCTCAGTACCCCCCCCCGGCACGCTTGGGTGGACCCAGCAAACCACGCGTGAGGTGAACCAAGCATCGCAACGCCGGGGGGGGCAGAGGAGACTCCATCTAAAAGTATAGTGTACAGCAGTATGTAGTCTTGTACCTGGAGTAGTACTACTGCTGTATAGAGGTGTGCGTGCATACAATAGAGTGGCTGCGGTGACATCTATCTAGCGTACAACGGGCTCCATCGCAAAGAACCTGAGGAGTTCTATCAAGTGTCTGTTGGTGCTGCTGGTGCACACCTTTGTACGCACTGCAGCTGTGTGTGTGAACCTCTCGCTGTGTGTACCATGGCGGCACTGCTGTGATGGTACATACAGGTACTCCATGCATATTGTATGCAGACGTAGCAAGATCTTGTAGCTTGCAGTCACACCGCACATGGGACGGAGCCCCCGGATACCCCTCAGTACAAAATCATCAATCGTAGGGGGGGGGGGGGGGGGGGCAAGACCAATGTCGCTTCTTTGTGACCTGGGCTGCGGGAGGTGCGTCCCCGGGAACCAAAACGCCTGGTACAACATCACATCAGCAGCAGCAGCAGACAACCCAACCTACGTGTAGCAATACAGCGTAGCCATCATACCCGCCAGCCTCCTGCCAGGCTGCTCTGCTGCAGGCTACTACTACTGCTGTAACACAGACGGTTGCTACTGCCATGAGCTAGCACGGAATGGATTGTCAGACACCAAGCAGTGTAGGTTCGTAGCAGCTCTCTGTGTGATGTTAGCTCTGTGCCTCGGTTTAGGAACCACAGAGCAGCGTGGATGTACAGTCGACCCCGCTTTAAGGACGCACATGGTTTTTCTTCAAAAAAAGCGTCCTTAAGGGCTATTGTTAGGGTTATTGTTACCGCAACGAAAAAAAAACGCTTTTTTCCACGGAACGGTGAAAAGAAGATCCGAATATTTTTCGCTTGTTCTAATCGTGATGTCATCGCGAAACGCACGTTTCCTTCCCTGAATACACGTTTTGCTCGACACACAACAGGTTGACATGGTATTGCTCACCATAGAGCAGCGGTGAAAGCGCAATGAGCAGCACCCGACACAGAGGACAACACACTTAGAAAGATCCCGTCCACCTGGCCTGCTGTTTTCAGTTTTTAGCAACAACAGGCGCACGGCAGAGTGCCGCCACCTGGGTGTTGCTTGCGATTTCTTCAGTTTGCCAGCTCATTTTTCACGGTTGCGACTCCCATCCTTGACCACCACCTGCCCAAAGGTAGACGAGCTCAACAATCATAGGGCGGCAGCCGCGCTGACGGCCAGCATCATATAGATGGCCAATCCGAAAGAATTAGCGTGTCGGAGGCCCTGTTGCTCTACTGCGGCGTGGTGCCGTGGATTGATGTTGATGCGTCCGACCAAAAACGCATCATCTCGCCGCATTTTTTCCAACGGCATTTTGGTGAGGTGGCACACGTCTCTAACACACTTTATTGAGCAGCACCCAAGCACCCAATACCCACGAAGCAGCACGGCGCCGGGAGATGGTATCATATAGACAACCGAACCGAAGGAATCAGCGCGTTGGAGGTCTTGCTGCTGCTGCTGTACTCGTTCTACTGTTTCCGTGTTTGCTATGTGTGATCGAAAAAAATCCCCAAGCACCAACAGCAGCAGTTGAAGACGAGAGCACCACGCAATGCCTAGTTTTGGGCCAAGAACGGATTGAACGCCGCTTCTGCCGCTTGTCCATCTCCACAACAGACCTGGACGTGAGTCTGGCAGGTCTTTCTGGCGTTCTCAGTGATGTTAACAGCGCCCGCGGTGCGCTTGTCCAATGTTTCTGTCAAAAACACAAATTCGTTTAAGGGTGCTCTGCTTCTTATCGACCAATAAAACACCAAAAAAAAAACGAAACCGTTTTTTCTTGAACACATATGGAGGCGTTTTTGAACGAAAGCGTGAAAAGAAGGAGCCCGGTTTTTTTGGGGCTTGCTACTTGAACGAATTCGTGTTTTTGACAGAAGCATCGGACAAGCGCACCGCGAGGCGCTGTAACATCACTGAGAACGCTAGAAAGACCTGCCAGACTTACGTCCAGGTCTGTTGTGGAGATGGACAAGCGGCAGAAGCGGCGTTCAGTCCGTTCTTGGTCCAAAACTAGACATTGCGTGGTGCTCTCGTCTTCGACTGCTGCTGTTGGTGCTGGGGAATTTTTTTCGATCACACATAGCAAATACGGAAACAGTAGAACGAGTACAGCAGCACCACCAAGACCTCCAAAGCGCTGATTCCTTCGGTTCGGCTGTCTATATGATACCATCTCCCGGCACCGTGCTGCTTCGTGGGTATTGAGTGCTTGGGTGCTGCTCAATAAAGTGTGTTAGAGACGTGTGCCACCTCACCAAAATGCCGTAGGAACAATTGCGGCGAGATGTGATCTGTTTTTGGTCGGACACATCAACATCAATCCACGGCGTCACGCAGCAGTAGAGCAACAGGGCCTCCAACACGCTAATTCTTTCGGATTGGCCATCTATATGATGCTGGCCGTCAGCGCGGCTGCCGCCCTATGATTGTTGAGCTCGTCTACCTTTGGGCAGGTGGTGGTCAAGGATGGGAGTCGCAACCGTGAAAAATGAGCTGGCAAACTGAAGAAATCGCAAGCAACACCCAGGTTGCGACACTCTGCCGTGCGCCTGTTGTTGCTGAAAACTGAAAACAGCAGGCCGGATGGACGGGATCTTTCTAAGTGTGTTGTCCTCTGTGCCGGGTGCTGCTTATTGCGCTTTTATCGCTGCTCTATGGTGAGCAATACCATGTCAACCTGTTGTGTGCCGAGCAAAGCGTGTATTCAGGGAAGGAAACGTACTTTTTGCGATGACATCACGAAAAGAACAGGCAAAAAAAAGTCGGGTTTTCTTTTAACCGTTCCGTTTAAAAAAGAACGATTTCGACGTTGCGTTAATAATAACCGTAAAGCGGGTTTTGTCCTTAATTTTCCGGGGACGATAACTCGCCAACCCCGGGGTCGATCGAGGCATGCTGTAGCTCAAACGACTCGGCTATTGATAGGGAAGGGCAGTACGAAATTTCAGCACCTTATTTTAGATTCTTCTATGACCAAGGCGTGTCAACTGCGATCCATGCTTCGGGTCTCCATACCGTGGCGTCGCCTTCTCCTGTGGCCTTCGTCGACGCTCGTCATCACCCCCTTCATTGAACGTTTTCTCCGTCATCGTCACCTTCAGGCGAAATTGTCATCACCGTCGAGATTCTGAGTTTCAGTATTGTGCGTGATATACCATGGTATGTTTTATGTGCTTATGTCGTGTGTGTATGTGTTCAATATCGCCATTGTGCGCGGGATACAGGGCGAATCGTCGCGTCCCTTTTTCCGCCCTCGACCTTTTCTGTCCTGGAGCAATTAGTTTTGCTTATTTGGGCTACGTTGGTTGGTAGGTTTTGTCGCAGGCGTAACATGGTCGGCACTGTTGATCGTTCAACCTGTCTATCTATGTAGTCATGCCTTCCTTACCAGCGAAATCAACTCCATGACCCTGAGGTGGTGTGCCTGCCGTGGCTTCCCATTGCTTATTTTTACTTGGGTTTTGAAGTTAATCTTTTGTTGTTGTTGGTGTACAATAGACGCTTTCGGGTGGTCACTCTCATTCGTCCAGTTGAGATACGCGCCCGTGCGCGTAAAAGAGTGGTGTGCAGCATTTTGATATTGATTTTGTATGGTCATTTATGGTAATTAATGTGCTTTGTAGCATTTCTCTTACCTAGTTTTATCCCTTTCCGTGGATAATAGCATTTTCATTGAGCTGCAGTTGTGTTGTCAACTT